AAAACAGGACTGACACTAAGTCGCCTAGAATTTGAACAACTACTTGAACTAAAGACGGAGATCCTGACAGAGTTTGATCGACTGGAGCTGCTAACCATTCCTTGTTACCCGCCTACACCAAGGATCACAGAACCCTACGCTGACGAGAACAGCCCCAACACGGACGAATATATACCGGATCATGTCATCCGACACATTGAGACTGTCGAGAACAACCGACCTGCTGTCTCTCTAGATGACTCGGTTCCTTGGCCACTTGCAAAGAGAAGATGTCTACGCCAACTTTTAATTTTATGAATAAAAGAAATATCAAACGCAAAAATATTGTTGTGTTATTTTTGTCTTAGTTATAAAAATGGTGTAGTTGTTATGTATATACCCAATTATATAGGTACAGCCAGCTATCCGCAGCTATCTATTAGTCTCTAATTTACGAAACAGAAAGTAACCAAGAAGGGTTTAACGTTACAAAGAAAAGGACAGTTTACGACGACGCGGATGATGATGATGGTGGCGCCCCAGCCCCACTTTCTCCCTACCATCAAACCACTTTCCTAGGTTTCTGTATCTATTCCCTAAAACGACCCCCGCGGGCGTGCGTGCGTACGGGCGTGCGTACGGACGGGCGGGTGTGCCCCGTTGAGCGACACCAACTGCCGAGTTTTTCCTAAATCGACTGTTCCAGCAGAATAACCACTGAAGCCTACTGACCAATCAGAACCTTCGCCCACTTATTTACAAAGTCAGATAGTCTGCCAAATATGCCCCTTCTCTTCGACTCTCAACAGTATTACCAGACACCCAGCATTCTATCGTCCTTTTTTACTACAGCTCAAACCATCCATGAGCGGTCGACCTTCGCTCCCATGATACAGATGATGATGATGATGCCGGCGCCCAAGCTGCCCTTTCTAATATATCCCCGGTCACCACGTCGCCTTCCTAGGTTTTCTTTATCGCAAGTCTAAAACGGCTCCCTGCTCTCACCCTTTATATAACGCCACCTGTCACCTGCCGTTATGAAACTAATAAAGAAAATACCCACATACCGACAATGAATAACCAGTTGCTATGGAGACAACATATCGATTTATGCACCATATGTCTTTCCCCTGAAACCCGTCAAGTGTGCTGTCATCAGCCTCCCGATCGATATTTACTAAGGATAAAGAGGGAGGCTGTCCCGATCGATATTTACTAAGGATATATAAAGCCTCCCAGAGAGACCAAGCAGATTTGGCCGCCATCTTTTACAAAGAATAAAGAAGGAGGCTTAATCGAAATACGCGTCGTAAACGACTTATACACGATAGATAGATAGATAGATAGATAGATAGATAGATAGATAGATAGATAGATAGATAGATAGATAGATAGATAGATAGATAGATAGATAGATAGATAGATAGATAGATAGATAGATAGATAGATAGATAGATAGATAGATAGATAGATAGATAGATAGATAGATAGATAGATAGATAGATAGATAGATAGATAGATAGATAGATAGATAGATAGATAGATAGATAGATAGATAGATAGATAGATAGATAGATAGATAGATAGATAGATAGATAGATAGATAGATAGATAGATAGATAGATAGATAGATAGATAGATAGATAGATAGATAGATAGATAGATAGATAGATAGATAGATAGATAGATAGATAGATAGATAGATAGATAGATAGATAGATAGATAGATAGATAGATAGATAGATAGATAGATAGATAGATAGATAGATAGATAGATAGATAGATAGATAGATAGATAGATAGATAGATAGATAGATAGATAGATAGATAGATAGATAGATAGATAGATAGATAGATAGATAGATAGATAGATAGATAGATAGATAGATAGATAGATAGATAGATAGATAGATAGATAGATAGATAGATAGATAGATAGATAGATAGATAGAGATAATCAGCCATCAGTTTAACATAGACGATCACAATATCAACGCATCTGAAACTAACATTCCAAAAGTTAACTAAACAATATAACATTGCACTTTGGTTTTAATGTCTGTACATTCAATGTTAATCAAAAATGTTCATGTTACCAATTTAAATACTTGGGAAGTGTCTTTTCATTCAATGGTAAAATAGACAGACAGATCGAAGCAAGAATCCAACAAGCCAACAATGTCGCATACCAGCTTGCCCCAATTTTAAAACACCCTGCTGTCCCAGCTGAGATAAAAAGACAAATTATAAATACAATCTTTATACCGACATTAGGTTATCAATGTCAGACTTGGACATTAAAAAAAGAACACGAGAGAAGACTAACAACCTGTGAAATGAGATGTTTGAGAATGGCTGCGAATAAAACCAGAAGAGATCGAGTGAGAAACGATGTGATTACAAGAACTATTGGAACCATACCCATCGTTAAATTTATTGAGAAGCAAAGAATGAAATGGTTTGGTCACCTAATGAGAATGGAACCAACGATGCCAGCATCAAGAGCATACAACATGAAAATCGAAACACCAAGAGGCAGGGGAAGGCCAAGAAGAAGATGGATTGAAGCAGTCACGGACAACTTGAGACTTCATAACATCACGGCAAATGAAGCGACTGAGCGCGCCCTGGCTCGGTTGCCGATCATCTGATAGACTGCGACGCCTAGCGGCAAAAGCAGATTTTGACAAAAGAAGAAGTTCATGTTACCAGTTGTGTAAGCGCCAATGATCTCTAGTGTACTTCTGATCTGTTGAAAATGAGCAAGGCCCCACACAATCAAGTGCCTCTAGGAGAGGATGGCATTATTTCATACACAATCACGTGCCTCTAGGAGAGGATGGCATTATTTCACACACAATCACGTGCCTCTAGGAGAGGATGGCATTATTTCACACACAATCAAGTGCCTCTAGGAGAGTATGGCATTATTTCACACACAATCAAGTGCCTCTAATAGAGGATGGCATTATTTCACACACAATCAAGTACCTCTAATAGAGGATGGCATTATTTCACACACAATCAAGTGCCTCTAGGAGAGGATGGCATTATTTCACACACAATCAAGTACCTCTAATAGAGGATGGCATTATTTCACACACAATCAAGTGCCTCTAGGAAAGTATGGCATTATTTCACACACAATCAAGTGCCTCTAGGAGAGGATGGCATTACTTCACACACAATCACGTGCCTCTTGGAGAGGATGGCATTATTTCACACACAATCAAGTACCTCTAATAGAGGATGGCAGTATTTCACACACAATCAAGTGCCTCTAGGAGAGGATGACATTATTTCACACACAATCAAGTGCCTCTAGGAGAGGATGACATTATTTCACACACAATCAAGTGCCTCTAGGAGAGGATGACATTATTTCACACACAATTGCCTCTAGGAGAGGATGGCATTACTTCACACACAATCATGTGCCTCTTGGAGAGAATGGCATTATTTCACACACAATCAATTGCTGCTAGGAGAGCATGGCATTATTTCACACACAATAAAGTGCCTCTAGGAAAGGATGGCATTATTTTACACACAATCAAGTGCCTCTAGGAGAGTATGGCATTACTTCACACACAATCAAGTGCCTCTAGGAGAGTATGGCATTACTTCACACACAATCACGTGCCTCTAGGAGAGTATGGCATTACTTCACACACAATCACGTGCCTCTAGGAGAGTATGGCATTACTTCACACACAATCACGTGCCTCTAGGAGAGTATGGCATTACTTCACACACAATCAAGTGCCTCTAGGAGAGGATGACATTACTTCACACACAATCAAGTGCCTCTAGGAGAGTATGGCATTACTTCACACACAGTCAAGTGCCTCTAGGAGAGGATGACATTACTTCACACACAATCAAGTGCCTCTAGGAGAGGATGGCATTATTTCACACACAGTGCACAGCAAACACCCACACGTTGGATTAGCTACGGCATGCCGCCATTTGTTTGAAGAATTCGCGAAATAATTTATCATCCAGGTGTAATGTGTTTACTTTCCCTAAGATCGACTGGTTGAATAGATAATCCAATGAATGAATGATACATTATGTGGAGATGTAGTACTGTAGACCAGTGACGAAAATGGTATAGTCAGACATAATCAGTGTGACAAAGATGTCCTGGAAGAAGTTAGGTTTCGAAAAGAACTCATTGCTGGCATTAGAAATAGACAATCTACGTTCTTTGGGCACGTCGTGAGATCAAATGTCTAGTTCAAGTTGATAACTTCTTCTATTTAGATTTTACCTGCTGTTAACTCTAGCGGAAAGTTATAGTTGTTTGTCCATTTCTGGACTCTAGGCCGAATCCAGAACTCAGGTGTTGCGTGCACATACGTTTTACAGTTCTGGTTTTTTGTGTGTATACAGAATGTTGGTTCCTACCTATCAGGCAGATTCAATCTGACTCTGAAGAAAGCTCAAAATTAGTCGACTGTTACGACATGCTTGTTGAGGAGGCAGTGGGTCTGTTCTTGTTTTCCCCTACAATGGGACCCAGGAACCCACAGGGGAAGTCTTGACAACGAGACAGTTCGATAGGAAGGGTTTTCAGTGGAGGCCAATAGAGAGGATCCACGTTTTAGTATTCTCATGTGGGTTCCAACACCCCTGTTTTGTTGGGGTTGGGGGGGGGGGAGTGGAGAATATACATACTATACACCTAGCAAGCATGTCATGAAAGGCGACTAAGGGGTTTTGGTGAAATGTATTGTGTTGTGTAGAAAGGCGTAGATATCGCAGCCTAGCTATAAACCACAATACAACGTACCAACTGCCTTTTAAGGTAAAAGCAGAAAAAAAAAAGAAAGAAGAAACGCAGATTAGCATCATAACATGGATGCACATCGGTGTCAGCACTGACTGACACTGCCCGTGACAGAAGGCTGTAGATAACCATGACTACCAACGCCACATTGTGTATACTATAAAAAGATCAACCGAACATTGCTGGTATTGCTGCAATCAACTACTCGATTCTAGGGCTTTCCTCTTCAGCAAATAGGCATCTGAAAAATGGGCCCGACTTTGGGGTCCATGGGGAAGCCCTTGCGCATGCCCATGCAGAAGGAGGCGTCGATCTTGAGAGTGTTGTCCTTGACTGAGATGTCGTACTCCAGGGTGGCTTTAGTCTTCAACAGACGGGCCAGGGACAGCTCTGAGGTTCTCAGGCGCTCTTTGAGGATACATATGGACTCCCGCAGCTCGGCAACTTCCCGCTGGAGTCTGCAATAGAACATGTATGCATTATTTAGAATTGTCTGATCTTGGAAACTCAATTATTGAACTGTCCCCTGGCTGCGTGGATTTTTATCATGGTATGTTACGTCGCAAGTCGACCCAGCCTAAAATGGGTACCAGGATGGCTGTCCTGGGGAAGTAAAGACGGTCGGCTCAATGCTGACCACATTACCCAACTAGTGCCGTTCAGTCTATAAAAATATTTGGTGCTCTTCTCCTATGTCCGATGCGCCAAAGGCGTGAAAAGGGATCTTTACTTTTTTACTTTACTAGTTAAACAGGGGGTACCAGTGCAGTATTTGGAGTATCAGTAGCAGGTGTCATAGTTATAGCCTACTATTTTGGGGATTGAACTAGGTATCTGGGGTTATCGCTGCTTGGCTTGAGAGAAATACAGTTCGACATTTGGTAATTAACGGGCTCATACGACATGCTTCGACAAACAGAGACTAGTCTCCGACGTGAAGAGCATCGCTTGGTAAGATTCAGATACGGAACATATGTATTTTCTACTCAGAATATTCTTGTGTGCAGGGTATTGAGCAAACTGATAGATTGGCAGCTGCCGCTTCCGTGGGCGGTAAGCTACTTTATGATAAAGTGGGCGCAGCGAAGGCTTTATGTGATAAATTGAACAGTGCAGCAGGAGAGGGTAGCAGTTCGAGAGACTGAGTTTGTGGGGAGTGGACAGAGAGGATCTGGGTGGACTTCAGTGGGCGGAAGAGATCTGATTGCGAATAGCACAGTAAGAGTGAGAAGTTGTGAACTCTTCGTTGGCTGCTGAGGTAGTATCCCGAGTACAGTGATGACCATTTAATTAATTGATTGATTCATTATTTTAACCAATCATTCATTAATTTCTTTACCATGCAAATGGAAGATTTAATGACAGCAATTGACACAGCTAAACACAACACATACACATTAGTGTCCTAGAGACGCAAGATTTTCATGACAGCCTTGTTACACAGCTCCACATAACAGACATACAGACAGCACCACACAGACTCACGATTTCATGACAGCATCTTTACACAGCTCCATCAGACATACAGACAGTACCACACAGACTCAAGATTTCATTATAACATCGTCACAAAGCTCCATCTGACAGACATACAGACAGCACCACAAAGACTTACGATTTCATGACAGCGTCGTTACACAGCTCCACATTGATCCGCCTTGTGCGCTCGTCCAGCCGGGTCTGTGCCACCTGCATGGGATGTTCCTTGTCTTGAATGGATTTCCTCAACAAGGCGACGTTGCGCTCCATGTCGAAGATTTCCTGCATCGTCTGCAACAGTGACGCCAAACGTCATGGCATAACAAAAAATAACACTTAGCAACGCACGACTGTGGCATAGGGATTACAAACTTGGTTTTTAATTCCGAACCATTCAGAAGAATTCTGATAAAAGCGATTTGGCAATAGAGCGCTCTGAGCTGATTTCGACAATGGTAGGGAGAGTTGAATGTTCAGAAGGCGATGACTGTTTCTTCTTCTCAACTCTCATCGACAGGTTCCATAGGAGTTACTTACTTACTTACTTACTTAGTCGCTCCTCTTCTACCTTGGGGTGTAGAGGTTTGCCAGAGAGATCGCCAGACGTCTCTATCAGCAGTTTTCTTTCTGGCTTTGTTCCATTCCAGTCCTCTGTCAGTCAGGGACTGTCGGATGTTGTCTTCCCAGCGCACCCTGGGTCGTCCCGGAGGTCTGGTTCCCTGGTTCTTAGCCTCCCATGCTTGCCATGGTGGCCGATTTTTCTCCCATTCTGCACACATGTCCAAACCATCGTAACTGTGACTGATCCACTCGGGTTAGTAAGGGCTGGGTATCAAGATCTTGACGTATTGTCTGATTGCGGACTTTGTCCCTTCTTGTCACTTGGACCACCTTTCTCAGGTATCTCATTTCCGAGGCCTGCAGCTGGCTTCTGTGAGCTGTTGTCATTGCCCATGACTCACACCCATAGGTCAGGACTGGTACATAGGTAGAGCGGTAAACAGCCATTTTCGTCCTCTTGCCAATTTCTCTTTTGCTAAGAAACCCTCGGTTTATGGCCTGGAAGAGTCTCCCAGCAGCTGCTTTTCGTGTAGCCAGCTCAGTCTTAATGCCTCCATTTTGGTCTAATACAACTCCAAGGTATTTGAACTGGTTAACCTGCTCCAACGCATACTGACCCATCATGATCTGGTGTTTCTTCTCCTCTCTTGAGATCACCATGGTTTTAGTTTTGGAGACACTGATGGTCATCCCTTTCTTTTCAAGCTCTTCCTTCAGACAAGTAAGTTGTACTGAAGGTGTGCCTCTGATTTAGCTATCAGGGCCACATCGTCTGCAAAAGCCAGCTCTGATATACAGATTGGTCTCATCTTCCAGTACCCTACAGAGTACTTCTTTGTCTTCTCCTTACAGGTCTTGATGACATCATCCATCATAAGAATGAAGAGGTAAGGTGAGAGAATATCACCTTGTCTAACACCGCTGGTGGTCTTAAATTCTTCTGACTTTTGGTCTGCTGTTCTTACATAATTTCTGCACTTTTTGTAGAGAACTCTGTATTGCACTGATCAGGGGTGCTGGGATGTTTTTCCCTGCCAAGCAGTCCCAGAGCTTGTTCCAGGGTACCTTGTCAAATGCCTTTTCCAGATCCAAAAAACATAAGTGAATCTCACTCTTATATTCCAGGGCTTTTTCACTCATCTGTCTCAGTGTGAAGATAAGGTCTTGAGTACTTCGGTTTGCTCTGAAGCCGCACTGGGCCTCGTCCAGCTGTGGCTCTACCAGACTTCTAAGTCTCTGCTCAAGAATTCTAGAGTAACTTTTACCGGGGATGCTGAGGAGGGATATGCCTCTGTGGTTTTCACATTGTCTGTTATCACCTTTTTTAAATATAGGTATAATTATGGCAATCTCCCAATCTTTTGGTATAGTTTTGCTACACCAGGCTGCCTGGAGAACCTTCAGTAGAAGGCGCTCACCTTCGACTCCCATATATTTGACCATCTCTGGTGTTATACCATCATGACCTGCTGCTTTTCCCAGCTTAATCTTCTCAATAGCTGCCTTCAATTCTTCCATCCTGATGTTATCTTCCACATGATTGAATTCCTTCTCAGCAGTGAGGTCCATTATTTCTGGGTCATGACTTCCCTCAGCGCCGAGGAGCTCTGAGAAGTATTCTTTCCATCTGCCCATGATATCATTTGTAGAAGTAAGCAGAGCCCCTTCCTTGTCTTTTATGAATTTAAGTGGGCACTCTTTCTCCTTCCTCATGTTTCCATAGGAGTTGAAACATTTTATTGGCTGTTGAGGATGAGGACTGAGCACTTATGGAAATGTCTCGAGTGCGGAGATGTCTGTTCTTGAAACTCAACTCAGTGCTCACCGACTGTAAACAACGGCAGAAAGTTTGGTTGTTCGTCCACTTCTGGACTTCGGTATTGTTCCAGAACTTGAGTTTTGCTAGTACATCCGTTTTACTGATCTTTTTGTATGTCGTCTGTTTTATACAGGAGAGATTGTGTTTATTTCTTACAACAGAGTCACATATACATACATACTCTCCCAGTCATTAAAAAAGAAAATACGGGCTTTTGGACTGAAACGCTTTAGAAATATTCTCAGAATAAAGTGAACCAAGAAGAAGAGAAAACTGACATCAAAGATGATCTGAACATCAAGGAAGATTATCTAGTAAACAGCATCTTGTCTTGGGCCATATCCAGCGCCACAGCGGATTGGAAGGATCAGTAGCAGAAGGCATGGTACCAGGACAAAGGGGCAGGTGCCAGCCAGCACGAATGTTGAATTAGGAACCAACATCATGGCACTCGGGACACTTCCATAAGCATCCTGTCCCCAACTTCAGCAGCAAGCGAAAAGTTCAAATTCCGATGGCACCAGTAACTATCTGTATATCCGCCTCGCCTTCCCCTCGAGTGTTGGTCCTCAGACCGAAATGGTTTATCTGTGCCTCCACACTGTGCACTCGATCCCACAACAATGTCACAGCATCTGGCCTGTCATACATCAATTTACCTCCAAGTGGTGCAGAACCGGCCAGTGTATCTGCTGACTCGTTTACCTTCTGCAGGACAGCGTCTTTGTCTCACATTCTTTATAAGTGCCTATGTTTTACCTTCCACACTAAAGTGTGAATACTTCATGTCTTATCTTCTGCAGGACAGCGTCTATGTCTCACCTTTGTTATGGGTGCCTATGTTTGACCTTCCACACAAGAGTGTAACTACTTCATGTCTTACCTTCTGCAGGTGTGCCTGGAGCTTGTTCCTAGCGTCGGTTGTCTCTCTGATCCGGGTGTTGAAGGCGTTGTTGACAGCGTTGAAGTTGTTCCACATGTCGTTGGCGCACTGCCGCAAGGTGCTGTCTATCTCTCCCCGTAGCCGCTCGCTAGCTGCTCGTTCTCTCTGTGATCTGGCGATGTTCTCCTGCGTGTAGCGGGCCCACGACTCGGGTATTGTGATGCTACGTACACATACATAGGTTATTGTCAGCACACAGGTGACAGAGACATATTCACGTACACATACAAAGGTCATTGTCAGCACACAGGTGATACAGGCATATGCACAGACATATACACTAGGTCATTGTCAGCACACAGGTGACAGAGACATATTCACGTACACACACATAGGTTATTGTCAGCACACAGGTGACAGAGACATATGCACGTACACACACACACATAGGTTATTGTCAGCACACAGGTGACAGAGACATATTCACGTACACACACACATAGGTTATTGTCAGCACACATGTGACAGAGACATATGCACGTACACACACACACATAAATTATTGTCAGCACACAGATGACAGAGACATTTGCACGTACACATACATAGGTCATTGTCAGCACACAGGTGAGACAGACATATGCACGTACACATAAAAAGGTCATTGTCAGCACACAGGTGAGACAGACATATGCACGTACACATACATAGGTCATTGTCAGCACACAGGTGACGTATACATATGCACGTACATATACATAGGTCATTGTCAGCACGCAGGTGACAGAGACATATGCACGTACACATACATAGGTCATTGTCAGCACACAGGTGAGACAGACATATGCACGTACATATACATAGGTCATTGTCAGCACACAGGTGACAGAGACATTTGCACGTACACACACATAGGTCATTGTCAGCACACAGGTGACGTATACATATGCACGTACATATACATAGGTCATTGTCAGCACACAGGTGACAGAGACATGTGCACGTACACACACACATAGGTTATTGTCAGCACACATGTGACAGAGACATTTGCACGTACACATACATAGGTCATTGTCAGCACATAGGTGACAGAGGCATTAGCACGTACACACACATAGGTCATTGTCAGCACACAGGTGACAGAGACATATGCACGTACATATACATAGGTTATTGTCAGCACACAGGTGACAGAGACATTTGCACGTACACACACATAGGTCATTGTCAGCACACAGGTGACAGAGACATATGCACGTACACAAACATAGGTCATTGTCAGCACACGGGTGACAGAGACATATGCACGTACACACACACATAGGTTATTGTCAGCACATAGGTGACAGAGACATATACACGTACACATACATATGTCATTATCGGCACACAGGTGACAGAGACATTTGCACGTACACACACATAGGTTATTGTCAGCACACAGGTGACAGAGACATTGCACGTACACTCACATAGGTTATTGTCAGCACACAGGTGACAGAAACATGAGCACGTACATATACATAGGTCATTGTCAGCACACAGGTGACAGAAACATGTGCACGTACATATACATAGGTTGTTGTCAGCACACAGGTGACAGAAACATGTGCACGTACATATACATAGGTCATTGTCAGCACACAGGTGACAGAAACTTTGCACGTACACACACGTAGGTTATTGTCAGCACACAGGTGACAGAAACATGTGCACGTACATTTATAAAAACAGACACTATCAAAAAAACGACTACAGATAAGTTCTGATGTGAGTATCTGAGAGGAATCACTTTAAAGATAATCGAGGACAACAATAGCATTGCAATCCCACACTTCAGTTGTGGAAAACCTTCCTGGATGCGAGCGGGTCTGGTTAGTCACACTCGCCTTTGCCATAGGCTGTGAATCCCATGTCTCCCTATTGTGCAGAATAACACTATTGTCTGGAAAGACAGAAACTTGAAGACGATAGGACAAGTTGCTTGTTACATGTCCCCGTAGTAAAAAGGTAAAGATAGAGTTAGCCCAGTGCTCTGAAGGTCGTTTGTATTATTTCCGTTTGTCATTACTGGTATTTCGGACAGCGCCTGGAGTCGTCGCCAGAGCCAAAAAAAAAAAAAGAATAAAAAAAAAAAAAAAGATAAAAAAATCATCATAATTATCACGTGGCGTGCCGATAGTCTTCAGGTGGCCATAGTTGGCCATCAAAAAAGATGACCAGTCACGGATCACAGCAGTGCTTTGTGTCCAAGATCCATCCATGTTGCTACACCATCGGAGTATTTATTCCAACTCATTTCTTGGCACAACAGGATGAAAAACATTATTCGAACTTATTTCTTGCCATAACACGATCACAAATATTGACTGTGTACGTCTAGTTTGTCTAATCAATTTAATTTTCATTCACCTCTAGATGGACGCCTAATTTATTTTTATATCACTCCAAGATATCTTGCAGGTCGGGATGGTGTATCATCATTCACAGGTAGCATGAGACACCGCCTTTCCTCCGATAGACAACAGGATTACCCCCCCCCCCCTTCCAGCCCCTTTCAGTTTTTCAAGAGCAGCAAACAGAGATGTTTCTGGGCGCAGTTCTCCCACAACAGTGGACACAGGACAACGCTGTAGCCGCAATGAATGCGGTCACCCAACCGGTATGATCATTTCTAAGAAGAACTACCTTCTTCAAGATGGCAAGATCAACCATGTTTCTATACCGGACACAGCTTAACTTAAACGGTGTGAATTTGTGCTTTATAAGGGCAACCTCGCCGGGTACAGGGTCATGTCTACCAGAATGGTATCACCGCTGCAAGAGTCCTGACAATGTTTTCAACAATTGCATTGACGTTGACAAAAGTGTACGTGAGCTGAAGCAAGCATTATAAACTTAAAGACAAACAGTTGCATGGACGTTGACAGAAGTGTGCGTGAGCTGAAGCAAGCATTCTGAACTTACAAACAGTTGCATGGACGTTGACAGAAGTGTGCGTGAGCTGAAGCAAGCATTCTGAACTTAAAGACAAACAGTTGCATGGACGTTGACAGAAGTGTGCGTGAGCTGAAGCAAGCATTCTGAACTTAAAGACAAACAGTTGCATGGACGTTGACAGAAGTGTACGTGAGCTGAAGCAAGCATTCTGAACTTACAAACAGTTGCATGTACGTTGACAGAAGTGTACGTGAGCTGAAGCAAGCATTCTGAACTTAAAGACAAACAGTGGCATGGACGTTAACAGAAGTGTACGTGAGCTGAAGCAAGCATTCTGGACTTACGAACAGTTGCATGGACGTCGACAGAAGTGTACGTGAGCTGACGCAAGCATTGTGAACTTGAAGATAGAGTCAACTAATGCAAGCCGAATAAGCTAATAGTTGCAGGTACCCGTGTGGGCTCCGGGGCTATCAAACAAGGAAAACAAGAATAGACCCACTGTCTACGCAAAAGCATGTTGTAAGAGTCGACTAACTGGGAGCGTCCTTCGAAGTCGGAGTGCATCTGCCTGAGAGGCAAGGAACCAACAGTCTGCATACAAATGAGTCAGATCTGTAAAACGGATGTACACGCAACACATAGCTTCTGGAACAGGACTACAGTCCAGAAGTGGACGAGCAACCAGACCTTTCCACCGGAGTTTACAGCTGGTGAACGTGAAGAAGAAGAATAGTTGCAGGAATAACAACTCGACCTGGCAATTGTCTGAAATGATATTATTGTCGACATAAACCTATGAAGGACAAAGAAGATCTGCCGCGACTTTAGCCAGTATGTTCGAGTCTTGGGGTACGTACGTGTTGTCGATGTTCTCCACTCCAGGTATGTATCCGATACCGGCGGACGTGTTCCGGAGCTGCTGCATGCGGTCGTCGATTCCCTGGGCGTGGTGTTTGTCCTTGGCGTCAATCTCCAGGGCGTGCTGCGCTGCTCTATCCATCCTGCAATGAAAGAGAATAAAACGAAGATGAAGTCAGAGACAGGAAAGTATCAACTATACGACAAATATTTGTCAACCTCGTCCCCCCCCTCCCCACCCAAACCAAAAAAAATCCTTGCTAATGCTACAGAGCCTGTGCACTGTGCTGAGCTTCTTCGGACTCAGACTTAAGTTAGAAGAAGGATGGAGCACTTTCGGGTTACTACCTGTGTGCCATGCTGGTGATCCGTTGTTCAAACTTCAAACTTCTTCTTCACGTTCACCGGCACAAGGGAAATTTTTGGTTGTTCGTCCACTCTTTGAGGTCAGTCTTGTTCCAAAACTTGAATTAGTTTTTACAGGTCTGGCTTACTTGTATGCGGACTGTTGGTTCCTCGCGTCTCAGGCAGATTCGCTCCAAATCAGGAGGAAGAAACTATATAGAAAAATCTTAATTTTCCAGTGTCGTTAGCTCTAAACTCGGAAACTACTGAACCGATTGCTTTCAAATTTGCACACAACGTTGCCTCTGACTCGAAGCGTTATTTTTTGCGACGAAGCTTCAGCAACGGTCAAATCATTATTTGTTTCGTTGCTCGCCCGGATTTATTTTTAATGAATTGACCACCTTTGACTGTGCAACACCGACCTTCACATTATTTTTATATACTTTCATATCTACTTATGCTTGAGTATTCAGTAGCGTAGTTAGTTGTAAGCATTTTGCTTTTTTACTCGGGTGATAGGGGTTCGATTCCCCACTGGGTCAAATAATTTTTTTTTGGGGGGGGGGGGGGGGGGGGGGGATCTAACTGGGTGGCTGGCACGTTTTGTTGTGGTATCTACGCTTTTTTCTGTTCGATTTTGGGGTTTACAGCTAGCCTGCGATAGCAGCGACGCGATGCTCAATGTTCATGTCACGGGTAATATTCGTTCGCCCTTGAGAGGGCGGTTGGCACGTTGCGTTGTGGTTTACAGATAGGCTGCGATACCTGACCTAAAGTCTTCAGTCTTCGGTAGTAGAGTTGTAAGTATTCCGCCCTTCACGTGTACAACAGGTGTTTGATTCCCCCCTGGGTACTAATTTTTCTTTTTGCCCCAAAGGGGCGATTGGCACATTGTGTTGTGGTTTACAGCTACGTTGCGACATCTGCGCCCTACGCCCAAAGACTTGCGATTTAAGTACAGTCCACATTAGCCTCCCCCCTACCCCGACGCTTCACTCGATCTAAAACTATTCGTTAATGAGAGAAACTCAACTAAGAAGGCTTACGGTCCAATTTGGTCTTGGTTGACACGGATGCCAAGGTTAATTAAACATCGTCACTTCGGACAGGGAGAGATGACGAGTGCAGGTTTTTATTTCCGCTATTTGTGAGTATAGTGTACATTTTTTTAATATCACGGAATATTACTGTGGGTTCCATCACCGGTTAGATGATGGAGTTTTATGTCGGGGACACACTTAAACTAAACAGTCCGTGGCGACAGCATGCGGCGCCAACTCCTCTGGCTACAACGACCTGTACAGACAGTAGTTACCGTTTTGTGTTGTTGTTGTTGTGACGGTGGTGATGGTAGTGGTAGCAGTAGTACTGGTACTTGATGGGTTATGTGGTAGCTGTTACGCTGGCCACATTTACTTCTCAGTACAGATTAATGCTACCCATTTTTGTCTGGGTGGACACGGATGCCAAGCTCAATTTAACAACAATATTTCGTCAGGCGATGACTTCCCCATACTTTGTAGAGGATGATATGATTGTCACGGGGGGGGGGGAGGGTGTCGAGGGGGGTTGATGCCAGACACTGTTAACTGAGAGAGCTTAAAACATTTTTTTACATTTCTCATTTCTTAACTATTTCTATTTTAACAATGTTGCCACATAATAATGTTTCAATCATTCGGAGAGGGAGATATAATTGGGCAGATGCTTGAGTCCTTGGTAGCGTAGTTGTCTATTTTGCGTGTTACGTGGGTGACTGGCGATCAATGCCCCGCTGGGTGATAAAAAAATTTTTTTTTTTTTTGCCTTTAACTAAGCGCCTGGCACTTTTTGTTGTGGTTCACAGCTAGGCTGCGATATCTACGTCTTCTTTCCGCTCGATTTGGGGGTTTACAGCTAGCCTGCGATAGCGGTGACAAGATGTTGGTCATGTCACGGGTAATCTTCGTTCGCCTTTGAGAGGGTGGTTGGAACGTTGTGTTGTGGTTTACAGCTAGGCTGCGATATCGGACCCAAACTCTTCAGTCTTAGGTAGTATATTTGTACGTATTCCGCCCTTCACGTGGTTGACCGGTGTTCAATTACCCACTGGGTGCTAATTTTTCTTTTTCCCTCAAGAGGGCTGTTGGCATGTTGTGTTGTGATTTACAGCTAGGCTGCGATATCTGCACCTTTCGCCCAAAGACATCAGATTTCAGTAAAGTCCCATTTATCCTCCCCGCGACGCTTCACTCGATAATAAACTATTCGTAGATGACAGAAGCTGTTAACTAAGACTGCTTACAGTCCAGTTTACTTTGGGTGGACACGGATGCCAAGGTCATTTAACATTCGTCCCTTCGGAGAGGGGAGATGACGGGTGGGGGGGGGGGGTTTCCTCCCGCTATTTGTGAGTATAGAACGGACTATTACTGTGGGTTCCATCACTGGTTAGGTGATGGAGTTTTTTTTCTTTCTTTGTTGGAAGCTCAATTACACTAAACAGTCCGTGGCGACATCATGCAGCGCTAACCCCTCTGGCTACACCGACCTGCACAGACAGTAGTGACTGTTTTTTGTTTTTGTTCTGAAGGTGGTGGTGGTAGTGGTAGCAGTAGTACTGGTACTGGATGGGTGATGTGGTAGCTGTTACACTGGCCACTTTTACTTCTCATTACACATTAATGCTATCCATCTGTCTCTGGGTGGACACGGATGCAAAGCTCAGTTCAGTTACAATATTTCGTCAGATGATGACTTTCCCATCCTTCAGCGATTATGATATGATAAGGGGGGGGGGTGGGGGGGGGGGTTGTTGATAGCAGACACTGTTAACTGAGAGACCTTAAAACATAATTTTAAAGTTATCATTTCTTAACTATTTCTATTTTAATAATTTCGCCAAGTGATGATTTTTTATTCCTTCGGAGTGGGGTATATTATTGGGGAGGAGGGGGGGGGGGGGGGGGGTTATGCCAGACACTGTTACCTAAGAGAGCTTAACACATTATTTTTAAGTTCTCATTTCTTAACTATTTCTATTTTAATACTTTCGCCAGGGATGATTTTTCAATCCTTCGGAGAGGGAGATATGACTGGGTGGAGGGGAGAGGGACGGGGGTTGAGGGTTATGACAGACACTGTTAGTTGAGAGCTACTTTCTTTCTTTTCCATTTCACCATTCGGGGCCACAGCAACGCGTGGCAGGGCACTGCTATTTCTAAATAGTCACGATTTACTGCATGCTTGTTAGGGAGGCTGTGGGTCTATTCCTCCCCCCCCCGACCCTACTGGGGGAGGCGACAATGATGCTGAGGATGATGATTTCACCAGTAAAGTTTAGAAAATCAACAATAAAAACACACTTTTAAATGCAACCTTTAAGTGAACGTTGCGAAAAACGCCAAAGATGCTAGGCTGGTTTTCATCCATACCATTGAAAAGCCTGCGCAGGACTAAAGGGAGCGGACGAATAGACTGTGAGTCCTTTGTGGCTTTACACGGAAAATCTGAGAAGGATGATGATGATAATGACGACGATGATGATGATGATGATGAAGTGCCTAATCAGCTGTAGAGGTGGCACACGGGCGGGGTCACGGCACACCATCTCATGTCGTGTAGCAACATACACACTCACTCCCTCACACACCCAGCCACTCACAATTGTATACACACATTTCAGACACTTACACTCAAACACACACACACACAGACTTACACATACACACGCACACATACATAGACGCGCGCGTTCACACACTAACACACAGAGGCACGCACGCGCGCGCACATACACATCTCAAACTCCCTATCATCATCTTCCAGGTCTGCTGTGAAGACTCATGTGGAGGAATTGTCGATAGTCTACCGCTCTATGGGAAGCACCGATGCTTGTCATTCCGTTTTAATATCAACTGTCTATACTGTATGTCGGCGTCTGTGGAATAGGCGATGCCAAAGCGCTTAGCAATTGGGCTGCGTGGTCTCGAGGTGTGGTGGATTCTAGTAATTCCCCCAGTTTCTGTTGCCTTAAACCACGATTACAAGTAACTACAGAGAGAAAACCGGACAAATCTTAACGGCGACGAACTGGCATGGCTTACGGACTACGATTTATGGAACATGGAATATAAGAGGCATTAACGGAAAGGAAAACGAGTTAGTAGGGGAGATGAGAAAAGCAAAATTAGGAGTCTTGGCTCTGACTGAAACCAAGAAAAAGGGCAAGGAACAGTTCACGATGGAAGTATGCTGCTCTACAGTGGTGTCCCTTTGACAGAGAGAGCCCAGGGGGTGTTGGCTGTATTGTGGCCAGGAATCAAGTTAGTAACATCAAGGGATGGAAATTCATCTCAGAGCGAATAATGGTGTTAGATCTGAAAGAAAAAGATACAATTGTCATTTTTGTCATTGTGTACGGGCCAAATGAAGATGAGCGAGTAGATGTTAAAGAAGAATTCTTTGAATTGCTCCAAAGGACCATAGATGACTTTCACGATGAAATTATCCTCCTAGGAGATCTAAATGCTAGAGTAGGAAATGATCACTCTAGATGGGGTGGAGTGATCGGGAGATATGGTGAAGATGTTTTGAATGATAATGGCAAGCGACTTCTCAGATTCTGCAGGGAACAGAACCTTGTCATTACAAACACAAAATTCCCCCACAAGCGTATAAAAATGCATACACAAGATGTGAACCTTCAAAGAATGAAAAATCCATCATTGACTACGCCATAGTTAGGAAAAGTTCATTCAAGTTTGTGAGAGATGCCAGAGTCATGAGAGGACCAGAGATTGGAAGTGACCACTAT